TAGTACAGTATCTGTAGGTTCTTCATTACAAGTAGGCCAAGGTTAATTAATGCTGAAATGATTATTATTATTAATTAATTATTATTATTACCTTACCTTAAGGGGAACTTAGACAACTAGGAATTAGAGGACAATTAAAAAAACGACGTTAAGGGGAAATAACACAAAAGATATTCCCCTTGGGCTATTATTATTTATAGGCCTAGTAAATAGTACAGTATCTGTAGGTTCTTCATTACAAGGCTTAGGCCAAAGGTAATTAATGCTGAAATTATTATTATTATTATGGTGCGCACTAAGTGCAATAAAGAGTGAGTAACCTAAAATTAGGGCCTGGAACCCAGGCTAAGTACAGACGTTTGCTAGGTAACAACGTGATTGCACCTTCCTTCCCAGGTGTTCATGTAACATTGACATAATTGTTAGCTAACCAGTTGTGTGTATTTCTTTGAGTACCGCGGCGTACTCATTTTCACAAAGCATTTGCATCCCCTCTTGGAAGGAGGGATTCGAAATAATTGTCTCCATATCTTCGCTAATTAAATTAAACACCGTAATTTAGCTTACGAATTTAGGGAGCACTTAAAATGTGAAATAATCATTTCACTACCCGACAAACTCCGAACTTTATTCATTCATTAGGCCTACATAATAGTTTCAAATTGCTGTACTATATACTCCAACATCACTGGCGCATGGTAACAACCAACTGACTGCAGACAATTTCCGGTCACACATTACTCTCCATAAAACAGCACCCCCTAGTTCCGTCACCTCTGGATAGGGTTTACAATAAGAAATTGATATCTACTAATCTTAAGAAAAATATGTTAAGAAAACTACTTAGGGATTGCTGTACTAAAACTATTTACGTGTAACCATGTAACACTGTAATCAATTCTATAAACAAACTGACGGCGACACGATGGCGTGTAATTGGAGCATAGAGCTATTTTATACCTCCATGATTGGAGTATGTATTATACTATCTTATCTGAGATTAATCGGTGGACCTTTAGGTTTTTATGTGTAGCATTTCCAGGCCATTATATAAAGAGTTGTTGTGGTTAGAGGTCATCGATAATTAGCTGTGTTGTTAAAATCATTTAATAATAGACGTTGTGTGAGTAAATACCACAATCTAAAACACTTTGGCGATATATTTTTACACGTGTAAGTACCAGTACATTTACAACTACCTGTTTCTATTGTCACAAAAGTCAATAATCCTTGTAACGTAATTAACAAAACCAGCGGCACCAGCAATCATTTGATTAACTTTAACCGTTAAAATCACATAAGCCATTTACCGTATTTATTTGAATAAGCGACCCGGGTCGTTTATTGCTGAGAAGGGTTTTAAACCCATACAAAAATTTTCTATAGAATTCTATAAAGAAAATTCTATAGATTTTCTATATAGTATTCTATAGAGTATCTATAGAAAATTTTATATAAGTTCTATAGAATATTTCAAACAAATTCTATAGAAAATATATAAAAACATTCTATACAATCTCTAAAGAATTTCTATACAATTTCTAAAGGATTTCTATAAAATTTCTAAAGGATTTCTATACAATTTCTAAAGAAAAGTGGCTTAATTCTCTATAAGAATCTATAGAAATTAACAGCATTTCTATAGAATATAACAAGTGTTTCAATAGAGAGTAACGCTGTTATAATTTCTTTTCTATAGAAAACTATTATTTTCTATAGAAATTGACAATACTTCTATAGAAAAGAACAGCATTTCTATAGAAATTATTGCAATATATAATTTTTTCTATAGAAAACTTTGTAAATTTCTATGGAAAATAACAGCAAATCTATAGAAAGTAACGCTGTTATAATTTCTTTCCTATAGAAAAGTATTATTTTCTATAGAAATGCACAATACCTCTATAGAAAAGAACAGCATTTCTATAGAAAGTAACGCTGTTATAATTTCTTTTCAGAAAACTATTATTTTCTATAGAAATTCACAATACTTCTATAGAAAAGAACAGCATTTCTATAGAAATTATTGCAGATATAATTTTTTCTATAGAAAACTATATAAATCTCTATGGAAAATAACAGAATTTCTATAGAAATTATTGCAGATATAATATATTTTCTATGGAAAGCTGTATTATTCTCTATAGAAATGTACAGAATTTCTATAGAAATAATGCTGATATATTATATTTTCTATAGGAAAAAAAAACAGCATTTCTATAGAAAATAACGCTGATAAAATTAATTTTCATAGAAATTCACAGCACTTCTCTTGAAAATAACGCTGATATAATTTTTTATATCGTTCGATCACTAAAAAGTTGTTTTCACGAATCAAAAAAAAGGTGTAAAAATAAAAAATCATATGCCTACAAGATGATTGTAATGTACAAATGTGTTTTGGTAGTTCATGGCAGGAAACATGAAATGTT